CGGCGGGCAGGCGATCGTCCTGCCGACAGGCGATTGTCCTCGCCAACGATATCTCCTTCGGCGGGCGATCTCGCCTTGCCAAACCCTCGGCAGATGATCGTCCTCGCCTCGGATATCCCTAAACACCAAAATGGTCTGAATTGCGGACGATTCCACGGCTAGCCGCACCAATCCCGAGATTTTTCGCGGACCCCAGCGAATTCGCGGCACCGCGCCAATCCCGACGACTCTACGTTTTTCCCCAATGCAAAACTCAATAATCGACTTCCTTGCGGGCCCGAGCACTCTACGACTTAACTACGCGACCGCGTGCCATCTACAATACATTACCACTCGCGACACGTATTTTCCCGAAATTACCGCGCGACCGCCCGAATCCGCAGCACGAATTACGTGATCACGACTCTTACATATATCACGCTTATTTCACAACATTTACCGCGAATGAATATGCCACGCGACTGTCGGCCGTGACCGTTTTCTCGGGGAAAGTTTACGTGATCTCTACTTACGTAAGGATTCGTTTTCGGTGGGATCCCTGCGCGGATTCCAATCCGGTATCTTCGAGCGCAAGGTAGCGACGGGCGCTTATTCTCCAGGTAACAGGTATCGCAAGATAATCCCATTGCAATTCGTTAATTCTTTACGGAAGTATAGAATATATAAACACCAACACCTTGTTACGGCTCCACGCTCCATCATTCTTTGATTGATTTCTAATCTTATGAGCCTTTACTATTATATTTATATACGCCGGCATAGACATGCGTTTTTCAAGTTAATAACCGGTTATTGCAATAAATATTACCACATGCCTCGGTAGTCGAATTGGTACGACGCCCTTCACGGAATGAGGGAGATTCTAGGTTCAAATCCTGACTAAGGTAATATTTTTCCCAATAAATTCTTTACGTTTTTTAAACAATTAAATCGTGTAGGTTTAATTCCGGGTAGGAAAGGGTTTTTAATGTTCCAAGATAGCTGTGTTTCAAGTCCGACAAATTTGCGCGCAGTCTATTAAGTTGGAATATATGTATATGTACAGTATGTACATTACAATTCGTTAATTCTTTATGGAAGTATAGAATATATGAACACCAACACCTTGGCTCCACGCTCCATCTTTCTTTGAGTAATATTTATCCCCAAAAAAATTTTTTTGGAAAAAAAGACTTTTTTTATACAATTTTGTATATAAGAGCCCTTTTTTTATTTTTTAATTTTAATTTTAATTTTCTCATATTAATTTATTTTTCATCGACACTATCCCCGAAAAATTAGACAAATTTTACTACCGGTTTCCAGAAAATCGGTTTATTAATAAATGAGTAGTTCGCGGTCAGACAGACAGACATTAGAACAATTTTGGAACCGGTTAAAAAAAAATTTCTTTTTGTGAAAAATAGAACTTTTTAAAGAAATTATAAAAATTGTATATTTCCCGAAAAATTTCGAAACCGATTTCCAAAAATAATTCTTTAAGGTTTGGTTGAAAAATCGGCAACAAAAAATAATACGTATTATTGCCATCCCCAGAAAATTCTACCCTTGTTTCATATATAATTCTTTAAGATTCGATCGTTAACAAATGAGTAGTTCGTGGTTAAACTTTTTTCTTTTTTTAAAGAAACCCTAAAAATTACGTATATTTCCCAAAAAATTTCGGAACCAATTTTCAAAAAATCGCTAACAAAAAATAATACACATCATTGCTATCCCCAGAAAATTCTACTCTTGTTCCATATATAATTCTTTAAGATTCGGTTGAAAACTGTACATTTACATAGCGGACAAACATACATACAATTTTTCAAGAAAATCGGTCAATTAATGAAAAATTAAACCCATCGACACCAACCCCGAAAAATTTGACAAATTTTGGCACTGGTTTCTAGAAAATCCATTAAATAATGATTAAACAAACTTATTTAAGTGAAGTTCAATCATGATTATATAAAGCGTCTCTTCCGAAGAGATCATAGATGTTGTACCTCTCACTTCCCTCAGTGTCGCCACAAGTTTCTAAAGCTAGGGAAAAAAAATTCCCTGCTGCGCCGCTCCCGCTTACCTCTCTTGTACGAGCTTCACCATCTTTGTTCTTTAAAGCTCTGCTGTTCGGGCCCGAGGCTGGGTTGTGCCGGATTCCACGGGCGCACATTGCCGAGGCAACGTCCCATGGCCTACCGGCTAAAACCCCCACTAGTCCCTCCTAGGGGGGGGGACCCGGGAAACGCAGTGATCACATCCGTGATCCCCCCACACTGGTCTTGAACAGGCACCCTCCGGGGGGGGGGAGCATTGAGCCCCCCTTGTCCTTAGGGACAAAAAGCTAACTAATCAGTGGCGGACTGAAGGGGATTAACCTCAGTCCCCCACCCCCTTCCCCACTCTGGGGGTGCTGGCCCGTTAAGGAGCGCCTTACGGCAACCGGTCAGAGTCAGCTGTGACTCGCGTCAGGCGCAGCCATCGAGGGCGGACCATCGGGAAGCGACGCGGCACCAGTCAGGCACCTGCCATTGGAACTCGCCGTCGGGGAACGCCCCGGCAACCAGTCAGGCCCACCCATCGAGGAGCTGATCACCCTCTTTCCACCGCGCCCTTCCATAAGAGCAGGTAGTCCGAGTCCGCGATCTAAGTCCCAGACCTGGCCCCCAAAGTATTTTGGTTTTAATTCGGAGTTTTTCTTCTCCTAGGCTGTTTGGTTTCTTGGCCCCACGAGCCCAGCCTGTCCGAGCTCGGGTTTCCCAGGTTCGCCAAACCCGTATCAGGGACGCCCACCAAGAGCCCCGAAAGACCCCCGAAGGCCGCCCCCGACCCCTGGGACGTTATCCGGACCGAAGTGCGTTACCCGTCGGCCGACTCAAACAGAGGAAGCCCTCACCATACCCTTCCCACGGGCTAAGCGAGAGATCCGGCCAAGCAAACTTGATCCCGCCGCCCACGAGAGGACAGGGCACAGGATGCTCCCTCAATGCAATCGCCGACCAACGGGTTCCTAAACACGCCGCCGACCTTTGCGTCCGGCGGCAGGACACCACCGGCCCTTGCAATCGTTCGCCTAGCCACGGAGCCGGTGACCCCCAGGGAGCAGTAGCGGCCATGGAAGCAGCGAACACCCGTATTTTCTTAAGTCAAATGCCGGACACGCGAGTCCGAAGAGCCCTTATGGCTAGCGTTTCTTTGCAACCGTGCACATAGCCACGGACCCGGGGACACCCAGAGGGCAGCAGCGGCCATGGAAGCAGCGAACACCTGCATTTTCTTAAGGTAAATGCCGGACAAGCGAGTCCGAAGAGCCCTTATGGCTGGTGTTCCTGGTAGTAGGTCGCGGTGCGACAAGTAGGGGAACCGAGGCCAGATTGACCCCGGCAGGTGAGCCGGAAGCGGCAAATCGAACGAGTTGGCGATCGGGCCCCGACAGGAGACCCGAGCGGAGGAGACAAGACCGGTCGCAGCGAGAATCCGGCAAAGGGCCCGCGAGATAGCGAAGACACGTCGGATTGACCCCGGCGCGCGAGCCGAGGGGGTCGGAGCGGGCAGAGATGGACTCGGGATGGTACGAGGGGCGATAACCGAGGCCATCGACCCAATCCGCGGCGCGACAGACCCGCGGGCTAAGGAGATAGCGGGGCCCAAACATGAGTTGGATTAACGAGATTCCCACTGTCCCTATCTACTATCTAGCGAAACCACTGCCAAGGGAACGGGCTTGGAAAAATTAGCGGGGAAAGAAGACCCTGTTGAGCTTGACTCTAGTCTGGCACAGGACATGTATTGTCCCCCGCGAACGGGGGTACGTCGGTCCCAGCCGGGGGTTAACCAACGGAATACACCCAAGGGGAGCCCCGAGATCAACCACCCGAACCGCGACGCGCCAGGACCACCGGGCGGGGACGCGTAATGTCCCCCGCGCAGGGGGGTACAACGGTCCCAGCCGGGGGCCGGCCAACGGAGTACACTCGAGAAGAGTCCCGAGATCAATTACCCGAACCGCGAAACGCAAGGACCACCGGGCGCGTAGACAGCGGGGACACGTAATGTTCCCCGCGCAAGGGGGTACGACGGCCCCAGCCGGGGGCCGCACAACGGAGTCCACCCAAGGGGAGACCCCGAGACTAACTACCCGTACCGCGAGCGACAGGACTACCGGGCGCGGGGATAGCGGGGACACGGCATGTCCCCCGGTAATCGGGGTACGGGAGCCCAACCCAAAAGCGGAGGGGTAGAACGGGTTCGGAGGCCCCCCAGAGGCGCGCTCCGGCAGGCGGGGATCGAGATACCCGAGACACGCGATGTCACCCGGAACTCGAGAACCGCGACCTTCCAGCGGAAAGTAGCGGATAGAGGGTCACAGGGGGAAGCGCCGGGAAGGATCCCAGGGGTCAGCGAAACCACTCGGCAAAACAAACCCCAGTCGCGGGAACCAGGGGACCGGGGTCCGAGGGGACCCATGCGTATGCGTGCGGACACATAGGAAGCCCGGCGTGAAAACCACGGGCGACAGCAAATGCGAAAACACCTAAAAACTAGCGAAAGAAAAGAGAAAGCGTTCACCATCTGGCGTGGAAAGATACTGCGGCGCGGCAGGTACCGATGGTGGGAACAATGGTCCCGAAGTGGGGACGCCGCGAGAGTTTGGCAACTCGAGGCAGTCGCTGGATATCGTGGTCGCAGTAACATGTACTTAAGATTCGCTTATAATGCGGACTTAGCGCGTCGTTTAGCGCAGCGATATATAACAACCAAGCACTCCCGCGTACTTGCGCGTTAAACATAACTCGTATAACTATTGCGAGCGGTAAATACTTACCATTTGTAACAACGTTCGACGAAAAGTGTCAGCGTAAAGCGCATATGGCGTGACAATCTTTGTAACCAGTGACAACGATCTGAAATAAATCAATCGTTTGTTAATATACGCAGTGTCAAGTTAATTTGAAGTTACTTACCTGTGAGTTACCCCGTCCTACGGCATCGATCCATCGTTGTCCAGCGGCGTTTCAGTATGCGATAAGACGAGGATCTGGGACAGTCAGCGGCAGTTGAGATCCATCCGGGACGAGAAGCTGAAAGAAAAATTGGTCGATTAGATAAACATACACATTTTCTACTTACCTGTTCCGTTGGTGGGTGGTCCCACGTTGTTCGTCGGTGATCCAGCAGCGGAGGCAGCGTCGGGGCGTCGAGACATCCAGCGTCGAGAATCTGAAAATATAAGAGAATTAATGGAGTATTGTTTCAACATCGTACTCTAATTTCGAAACTTACCTTCTCGGTATATCAAGGTTAAACCGAGTGGCGACCGTTTGATAGGCAAATCTGGCTGAAATATCATATTTTCGTGTGATCCACGCACCCAGAGAGTGACGTCCGGTTACACCCTAACCCGGAAACGTCCGGGCGGCCCGCTGGGTTCACCCTCCTAGGGGGCTGCCCGGCCCCGACATCGGATCATTTCCGAGCGGCCCGGACAGCTCCCGTGGGCCCGCAATCCCGCGACCTGCCGGAGCACCGACGTGCAATGATCGCGAGATTGTCCATCCTGCCGGAGCACCGGCGTGCAATGGTTGGAGAAAAGCCCACCCCGTCCTGGTTGCCGGTGGAAGAATCAAAATCCCCTAACGGTTCCGGCCGACCGGGCGTTTGCAGTCAGGGTCGCCATCCTCTACCGGCTGTTGGAGTCTGGGTGGCCAAAGCCAGACCTAGACTCCTAGCGGGGTAGCCGGTCCCCCGGTTTTCTGTCAGGGTTTTCCTTCCCTTAGGGCGGTTGGGAGAGCAACAGCTCATCTTTCACGGCCTCGCCCGGGCCGAGCGAACTTATTATAGAGGTCGCCTACCTCGCGAGTCCCCGAAGGGATTCCCCAGTCTTCGCTAGCCCGATGATTGACAAAGATTACGGTGCTGGTGTGTTCGGGTACCCTGGGTGAGCAAGACCCGTATCGAGGAAGGCCTCTAGGGGCCCCTAAGGGCCCCCGGTGACCTCCCCTGACTCCTAGGGGGTTTCTCCGCCGACCTGCTCGGCACTAATTGCGACGGCAGAAGGTAGGCAATGACCCGCCCTTGTGCCGCCCACCCGTCTCCTCTGTTCCAACCGGGCCTGTGTTTTAGGCCCCTCTTCTTCCTCTCGTGACACATCCTTCCTCCAACGCGTTTGGGGAAAGTGCCTGTGTGTATTGGGGAAGAGGGACGCCGCCCTCGTCGGAGGAAATGGCGACTCCCCACCCTCACACAGTAGTCCTATTCCTTTTCCTGTTCCTTATTTGTTGGGAACCACCAGTAGATTTCACCTCGGACTGGGAAGACTCTCAATCCGCTTCATCGTCGGGAGGAGGGGCGGCTTCTCCCCTCCTTACCCTTTCGTCCGTCTTTTTCCGCGACATGACTTTGTCGCAAAAGGAGGCGAACCTCCTCCAGTTGTCCCTTCCCCTCTTTTCCGCCTAAACCGTCGCTGCGATGACGGCCAAGAGAAAGAGGTCTTCTCCGATTTTTGCTCGGAGGGCACGGCGCTTTTTGTTCCACGCTGGACAGCCCTCCAGCGTGTGTTGCGCCGTGTCCGCCCCCTCCGGACAGTGGAGGCAGCGCGTGGTGCACTATTTACCGATGCGGTGCAGGTATTTGCCGAAACATCCGTGGCCTGTTATTACCTGCACCGCGTGGAAGGCAAGATTACTTTTTTTTATGCCTTCCACTCACTCCTCTAAAACTGGTTAGACGGCTTCAATGACCCTCCTCCCCCAGAGGTGCCAGGGGTCCGCTAGATTCTCCTTCCAAAAGCGGAGGAGGGTCTCCTTTGATCGGAGCTGCAGCTCCCTCCTATTCCTCGGCGGGACTTACCCCAGTGCCTCTCTAACCCTGCTGACCGCCTCATACGTTTTTGCGTACGACTTAGCCAGCAGGTGTATCGGGGGAATTCCCGCGAGGGTGGTCGCCCTTATGTGGGAGACGGTCCTATATACTCTGGCGGCTCTAATCGCAATACTTTTCTGCGCAGCCGCCATTTTGGCATTAAAGCGGGGAGTATTTCCCACCTTCTCCCACCATATTGGTGCTGCGTAAAGCAGCACCAAATGGACCGTCGCCACGTAGAGGCGACGCACGTGCCCGCCGGCCCCGCCAATGTTCGGCAGCAGCCTAGCCAAACTGTTGGCTATCTGCCCGGCTCTCGGGGCTACGTGCTCGCCGAAGCCCCTACCGCCGTCCAACCACATACCCAGGTATTTCAAGTGAGGAGTGATCGGGATTTTAATACCTCTTACTCGGAGACTGAGTCCCTCCTGTGGTGGGCCCCGCTTCAAAGGACCACGCCGAGTGTAAAACAGCGTGGCCTGCGTCTTCTGCGGGGTCACCTTTAGGCCCAGTCTCTCGATTAAGCGCACCACGCATGCCATTGCCACGTTGGTCAGCCTAAATAGCTCCTGCCAATCCTCCCCGATGACTCCCAGGTACACATCATCAGCGTACCCCGAGCGCCAGCATCCTTCGGGGAGGATTGCCCTGAGGACCAGATCGTACGCAATGATTCACAAAGGTCCTAAAACCGACTCCTGCGAGACCCCGCACTTTATCAGTCTAATCCTCAGAACTCTGTCCCGGTCCGTGTACAGCAGACCCCTGTCCCGAAAGTAATCCCGGACGACCTCTATTAAATAAAGAGAGACCCCGAAAGCTAGTAGGGCCTCCCATATAACTGGCCAGGGGAGAGAGTTGAAAGCGTTCATCACATCGAACGAAACGCCCATTACAACTCTCCCCCCCCCTCAATCTCGGCCTCCGTCGAGAGAGGACGCGTTTGATCGCGTCGATTGTCGATCTCCCGGGACGGAAGTTGAATTGGTCGTCCGAGAGTCCCTTCTTGCCCCTCCGGGACAGGTGCTGGACGCGACGCTCTGCTATAATCCTCTCGAAGATTTTGCCCGCCTCGTCCAGCAGGCACACGGGCCGATAAGCGGACAACGTACCCGCAGGTTTGCCCGCCTTCGGCAGGAGCATTAGACTGGCCTTCCATTTTTTGGAGAACCGACCGGCTCGCAGACACGCGGTGAACACCTTGCGCATTCTGCCGGCCAGTCCCCCCGCGGCCAAGGTCTACGCTCTCCCTGGTATCTCGTCAGGGCCAGGAGCCTTGCCTATCTTGACCCTGCGGAGAGCCTTCGACATCTCCTCCTCGGTGACCCCCCATTTCTCGTCTCACTCCGGTCCCGCTGTTGCTGGGAACCGGTTTTCCTCTCCCCCACTGTCTTTGGGGAAGAGTTTGTCCACCACTTCTTGGACGAATGGGGGGTCTAGCGTTTCCGTCAATGGAGGCGCCCACGGCCTTAGCTTGTTTTGCACCAGCTTGTACGGACGCCCCCACGGATCCTCCTCTATGCTGTCGAAGAGCTCTTTTCAGGAGCGTGCCTTGGCCACGCGCATCGCTAGAGAAAGGTCTTGATGGGCGGCACGCCAAGCCTCTTCCGCTTCCTCTATGTTCAGGGCATCGCGTCTCCCCGCGCGTGCCCTCTGCCACCTCCTTTTAGCCCGGACGGAGGAGCGCCTGAGATTGGCTAACTCCTCCGCTCACTAATAAGCACACTTTCTGGGGGGAAGGGGACGGAGCCGGCGCATAGCCACGTCGCAGGCTTGCGACATGACGTTCACTAAGCCCTCGGCCAATCCGTCCACATCCTCCCCCTCTCCAGTCGCTTTAAAGCGATCCCCGTTTATCTTCCTGAGAGTCCATCTCCGTTTATGCCTCGTGGCGTCACAGCGCGCGGCGGGCGAGCACGTCCGAGGAGGTGGCACGGACCGTTATCTCGATGTAGAGATGATCTGACAACCGCGCTATCGCGAATCTCGCGCGCGACAGGGGGGTGGCTCACGTGAGGTTCACCACTGACGTCCCCTGCCGTCGCACGCACGTGCTCTCTCGACCCACGTTCACCAAACTTAGGCCGAGACCCGCTGCCCACACTTCTGTGACGCGGCCTTTCTAATTGGTCTGCGAGGGACCCCACGCCGCTGACTTGGCGTTAAAGTTCCCCGCGACCATGACCCGGCCAGACGAGCATCCACGGACACAATCGTCCAGTTCTGAAAGAAAACGCTCGTATCTGGCCCGGTTCCATCTCGGAGGGGCGTATACTCTTATTACGGAGATGGACCCCCATTCCACTGCGACGTATCCCTCCCCGGCGCTCTTAGGAACGCACGGGGAAAACGTAGGCAGTGCCCTCTACGTGATCGCGACGGAGCCCCCCCTGTCCTTTGTCTAAAAGGGGTGATCCCTTGGGACAGTATAAAGATCCGCTGTGATCTCCAAACCACACCCGCGCTCTGCCAGTGTCTGGCAGAAGAGGTTTTGTGCTGTGCGGGCATAGTTCAGGTTTGCCTGAAAGACTCGAAGGGCCATTACATGTAGCCTTTTGAGTCCTCCGCCTCATCCTCCTTCGCGTTTGTTGGGGCGGTGTCTCCCGTCTCCTCCGACGTTTCTATTGCCTCTGGGAGGTGCTCCTTTGCTTCTCCGCTCATCTCCTTCGCGGGTGAGAGAATCTCCATCTCCATGCCTTCGGCTGCTCTTGATCCCTGGGGTTTTGTTTCCCCCCTCTGTTTATTCAGGGAAGGAGGAGTTTGGGATTTCTCCGATCCTACGACCCCGGCTATCACCCTCCCTTGATGTGTCACCTTAAGGCCTGACACCACCAGGTTGCTCGGGATCTTCGCCTTGGGCTTGGGTTTGCCTTCCGCCGAAGTCGAAGTCGTTGGTTTTTCTGTGGATCCTTCCTTCTCCGCGGCTCTCCCTTCTTTGCCTCTGCGGCATCCCTTGCAAGACACCCCACATATGCGGTGATTATGGGGCATCTCTTTGCTGGCGCATACCACGCACTTTAAGGGAGCCACGCATCCTCTGGCCGGTTGTTCTGTCTTTTCGCACCTGTAACAGGCTCCCGTCCGGTCGTTTTTGCTCCGGCACGTAGCCCGTGTGTGCTCCAGTTTAAGACACTTGAAGTATTGGAGTGGCTGTTTATCTACCAGCTCGACTTTTGCCGCCAACCACCTCAATGCTACGCGGTTCTCTCTCGACAGTGCGTTCGCCGCCGTCAGTGAACATCTGACGACGACGGTGCACATCCCGTTTCCCATTCTTCGTATAGGGCCAACCGTCACGCCCGAGGAGTATGTACCCCCCTTGGTTGCGATAGTTTTCCTAATCTCGTCCTCCCTCACGGATTCTTCGAATCCACTTAGTCTCAGGTCGGCCGTCGTAACTGGGCGGCCGACTCGGACTCCCTCCTTATCTGCCAGGGCTTCCGCCATTTTGGCCGCCAATGCGTCGGCCTTTTCGACATTGTCCTGGCCGGCGATCTCGAGGCTGATTGCCCCTGTCGCCGTCCTTCTCACGTTGGGGGTCTTTGTGATCCCCACGTCTTCCAAGGCAATCTTGCTCCTCACTATGCCCATGCATTCGCCGTATTGCTCAGCCGGGCATGTAAGCGTGACCGCCGCGGTCCTTGGAACTCTCCTCTTCCTCTTCTTCTTTTGCTGAGGGGGAGGAAAGTTCCCCTTTTTGGGGTTCTCTGTCGCTTGTGACTGCGACTGGGCCTGAGCCTGGGTTTTGTCCCGGGTTCCTCCGTCCTCTTTTTCTTCCCGTTCCGCTTCACCACCTGGGACTACGTCTCGTCCGGTGTAAACGTTGACGCTCCAGGGGCCGGTGCGGCTCTTTCTCCTTATACCTGCAGCCGTGGACCGTTTACGGTTCGTGTGGGAACGGGTTCGGGCCTTCGTTCTGGTACCTGCGGCTTTGGCTTGTTCAAGGCCGATGTGGGAATGGACGTCTTCGCACCGGCTTGTGCCACGGGCTTCGTCTTCCTCTTTTTCCCGTCCTCGGTTTTCCTTGTCAAAGCACCAGACGTTTTTTTCGCGGGGGCCTGGTTTCCCTTTTCCCCGCTCCAGAGGGACCGTCGGGGCTATCCTCGCCAACAGCCTCTCCTCCATCTTGTCAATGTTTTCGTTGACACAGGCCACCAGCATTGCCGCCAGTCGACCCTCCATCCCGATATCATTGTGGTCCTTAGGATCATTTGCTACCCCTCCAGCCGGCACTTCAGGGGGCACTGCAGGGGCTATGATCTTACTTCTAGCCTGCAGGCGGGGTCTGCGTGCCTCCGACATGCCCCCCATAGCAATCCTCTTTAAAACCTCGACCCTCGAGCTCCTTATCTTTTCGTCTTCTGCCAATGGAGCTTTTGGGTCTTCCTCCGCATGCGTAGCGGGCCTTTTTGGCTCGTCCCCCATCGGATCATTTTCTGTCGGGACTTCGGAGTCCGAGGAGGATGAGAACCTCTCCATCTTCTTCTTCTTGGGTCCCGTCTTCAACCGCATGTTGTGGTTGTTTCCCTCCCCGCTGCATCCGGTCCATCCTACTCTGCAGCTCCTGCAGTTTTTGCTGCATCTGTAGGTGCTGCGCCTTCATCTCTCGAAGGGTCACCAGTTTTTCTTTTTGCGAGGCTATATGTTCTCGCAATGTTTCGATCTCGATGTCCCTCTCAATACCGGTAGACGGATTTTCGTATCGTCTCACTATCAAATCCAGCGCGGTCTTTATTGTGGCTGCGGACCGGTTAAGCCGTCCCTTATATTTTCTTTTAAGAGAGCCGGCTTTCTCGTTCACCAGGTCCACCCCGTTGACGGCCTCCATTATTACCGCTGGAAGAGCTTCTGCCGGCATGGTGCTCAGCTCTTTCTCGGCTAACTTTTCCTCTTTTCTCTTGCTTAAGGAGAGATTCGCAGGCACTATAGCATCTCTCAAGGCTTTCAGGTCCTAAGCCTGTGCTATCAAAGCTTTTTGTGCGTTCTTTAGCTGCTTGAGGTAATAGCCTTCAGTCTTAGCTGTGTGACCTCTTCCTTCCTCTTGTCTAACGTTGCCTGTGAACGGGCAGTTGTTCGCTCCCACCAGTTGAGTCACCGTTGTCCTGGTCTCCTCCATTATTTCTCCGGCTTGCCGGGCCTCCTCTCTGGTAAGTTTTTCCCTGGCCTGCTCAGTGTTTTCCCGGGTTTTGTGTTCTTTCACGTACACTACGTCATCCTTGGTGTCGCGTTCTTCCTGCGAGACAAAATCGTCCTCTGAATCTGTCTCCATCTCGGAGAAGAACTTCCCTTTATTTTTTTACCGGCTGCGATAGCCAATTTACCGGCCGAGTTCGCAACCAACTCGGCGGGCAACGGCAAACGGGGGTCCGAGGATCTCGCCACCTGGGACGTGTGTATCTCGAGTCCATTATCACCTGTAGTGCGATTCTGTAACTCGTTATGCGTCGTTATGTGCTCATAACGACAGTTGCGCAGCTTTTTTCTTATATAGTATACCTGCGCAACTATCGTTATAAACACATAACGACAGCATAACGAGTTA